GACAGGCAGGGAGGGCTAGTGGCCCGGGAGGATGTCCTGGGTTATGACTCATTCTTCCTGGCTGGTCTCCCGCAGACTATAATCTCTGCCAGCACAGAGCTAGCCTCCAACTTCCTGACAGTCCAAAGATCCAGTCTGCCCTCATTGAGACCAAATGGACTGATAAAATAACAGACTTGCGCTGGGGTCTGGTCAGATCTGTTGGGGGCATTTGTTTCTTTTTGTTTGAGATAAGGTCTCACTCTGTCACCCAGACTAGAGTGCAGTGGTGCAGTCATAGCTCACTGCAGCCTCCAACTCCTGGGCTCAAGTGATCCTCCCACCAAGTAGCTGGGACTACAGGTGTGCCACTATGCCTGGCTAATTTTTTTTTTTTTTTTGAGACAGAGTTTCGCTCTTTTACCCATGCTGGAGTGCAGTGGCATGATCTTGGAAACCTCTGCCTTCCGGTTTCAAGTGATTCTCGTGCCTCAGCCTCCTGAGTAGCTGGGATTACAGGTGCCCACCGCCACGCCAGGCAAATTTTTGCATTTTTAATAGAGACAAGGTTTCACCATATTGGCCAGGCTGGTCTTGAACTTCTGACCTCGTGATCTGCCCACTTTGGCCTCCCAAAGTGCTGGGATTACAGATGTGAGCCACTGCACCCGACGACATTTTTTATTTTTTGTAGAGACGGGGTCTTGTAATGTTGCCCAGGCTGGTCTCAAACTCCTGGCCTCAAGTGATCCTCCTGCCTTGGCCTCCCAAAGTACTACAGGTGTGGGATTACAGGTGTGATTACAGGTGTGAGCCACTGCACCAGACTGGGATATTTGTTTCTAACCCCTGCACCACCTCTTATTCTTTGTTACTTCACTCTTCTCTCCAAACATCTGCCCTCTGTCTGTAAATCAGGGTTAGCAGCAATATCTATTGCATTGGGTGGTTGTGAGCTCATGAGGTGATGCATGTCAGGGGCCTGCCTGGCATCATAGTAAGTGCTGAGAAAGCCAGGATAGGATCAAGCATGTATCAGAATCACCTGGATGACTTGTTTCCTGAGCCTCACTCTACAGTTTCTGATTCGGCAAGTATGGATAAGGTCCAAGAATTTGTACTTCTTTTTTTTCAGAGACAAGGTCTCGCCATGTCACCCAGCCTGGTTTCGAGCTCCTGGGCTCAAACAATCCTCCTGCCTCAGCCTCCTAAGTGTTGGAATTACCAGAGTGAGTCATCTTACCTGGCCTTCTTTTTTTTTTTCACACTTATTTATTTATTTGTTTTAAGATAGGGATATCTCATTCTGTTGCCCAGGTTGGAGTGCAGTGGCAAGATAATAGCTCACTGCAACCCCAAACTCCTGGGCTCAAGTGATCCTTCCACCTTAGTCTCCCAAGTAGCTGGGACTACCAGCATACACCACCATGCCTGGCTAATTTTTAAATTTTTTTTTTTCTTTTTGTAGAGACAGGGTCTTGCTATGTTGCCCAGGCTAGTCTCGAACTCCTGGCCTCAAGGAATCCTCCTGCCTTAGCCTCCCAAAGTGCTGGAATTACAGGCACGAGCCACTGTACCCAGCCAAAAATTTGCCTTTCTAACAAGTTTCCAAAGTGATGTTGATGCTGCTGGTCCAGGACCACACTTTGAAAACCAATTGCTTACATAAATTACACCATGGCTTCCTGGTCTGATATATCTGGTTTCCACCCTCCACAACATGGATAACTCACCAGTGGGCCCTGAGTTCTTTCATGCAGGGCCATCAAAAGAACTGTGTCTGATCAGCCTCCTCTGCTCCAGCGTACACACCTTTACATGGTTTTATGGGTTGAATTATTATTATTATTTTCAGTTTCATCTCTACAGAAAATAATCTAAAAATTAGCCAGGCGTGGTGGTGGGTGCCTGTAGTCTCAGCTGCTCAGAAGGCTGAAGTGGGAGGATTGCTTGAACCTAGGAGGTCAAGGCTACAGTGAGTCATGATTATACCACTGCACTCCAGCCCAGGTGAAAGAATGAGATCTTGTCCCCCACTCCCCCCAAAAACAGTAACCGGACTCCAAAAGCATAGGCAACAAAAGCAAAAATAAGACAAATGGGTTTATACCAAATTAAAAAGCTTCTGCATGGCAAAGGAAATGACAGAGTAAAGAGACAACCCACAGATTGAGAAAAAATATTTACAAAATATACATTAGATCAGGGACTAATATCCAAAATATACAAACTCAGACCACTCAATAACAATAAAACAAATAACTCTATTAGAAATGGGTTTTTAATTTTGAGGGGCTGAGGCAGGAGGACTGCTTGAACCCAGGAGTTTGAGACAAGTCTGGGCAATATAGTGAGACTCCACCTCTAAAAAATAATGATAATATTAATACAAAGCTTCTGGGTATGGGCTGAATTATGTCCTCCCCAAAAGTTACTGAAGTCCTAACCTGCCAGTACCTGTGAAGGTGATCTTATTTGGAAACAGGGTCTCTGCAAGTGTAATCCAATTAAGATGAAGTCATCAGCGTGAGTCCTGATCCAATGTGACTTGTGTCCTCAAGAGAGGAGACACAGACACATGAGGGGAGAATGCCATGTGACGATGGAGGCAGAGATTGAAGTTCTGTGGCTGCTAGCCAAAGATTGCCAGCAAACCCCCAGAAGCCAAGAAGCAGCAAGGACGGATTCTCCCCTACAGGTTTCAGAAGGAGCATAGTCACGCCCATGCTTTGATTGCAGACTTCCAGCCTCCAGAACCGTGAGACAATACATTTCTCTTATTTTAAGTCACCCAGTTTGTGGTTCTTTGTTATGACATTCCTAGGAAACGGATACCCTGAGGTATCATTTTACAGACAACACCAACACAAACCTTTTCAAAATCATTTACTTCTTCACGGGCACTATGACTCGCCTTCTACCAAATTTGAGGATGTTTCCTTTGATGAAGTCCATGGGCATGAGAAACTAAGCAGTGAACTCTCATCTGCTGCCTTTTGACCTTCCTACTTTCCCGGAGTGTATTTTATTATCCCTTATATTTTACCTGTCCACTTGGAGAAGGAAATGTGACAGCACAAACACATGATGAGCTGGGAAAGCCTCATGCCTCTGTTTCCCATCAGTGTGTTCCATGGGAGCTGGGTAAGGGCAAGGGAAGGTATGGGAGGGTGTACTCTCACCCTTGTTCAGGAGACCGCGCCCACGGGAAAGTGCAATCCATCATCACTACATCATTACCATCAAACTGTGCCACCTCTCTGGTCCCCATCCTAGGGGATTGGGGGTGGGGATCTGTGCTCATGTTCACCTTATTTCAGGCAGTTATTAACCTCAAGTTGCCTGTAGGGTCTGTGAGATAGAGGGGAAGGAGTCTTCATCTCCCTCACAGATGGTCACCTTGTCTTCAGCACCACCACCCCCTCCCAATTGTCCTCATGGGATAACCTCCTTCCTTGGCCTCCCATCCCCACAGGACAGCCATTCTCTTCCTGAAAGGAGGGTCTTTTCAGGAAGTGGAGGACTTTAAATTCCTCCTTGGATCTAGGTTCACAGTCCTTAGAACCCAGCCCGTCCCAACTGTCTCTCAAACCTTCTCAACCACTCCCTATCCTTCTCCTGACCAAACTTACTCTAGCACCTACAGCTCGTTATGCGTTCTTGGCTTCCTAGAGATGGCACCTGCTGTTCTTTATGCTTGAAACATCCTTCCAGCTGCGCATGGTGGCTCATGCCTGTAATTTCAGCACATCGGGAGGCCAAGGTAGGCAGATCGCTTGAGCCCAGGAGTTTGAGACCAGCCTGGGCCATGGCGAAACCCCATCTCTACAAAAAAAGTACCAAAATTAGCTGGGTGTGGTGGTGCATGCCTGTAGTCCCAGCTACTTGGGAGGCTGAAGTGGGAGTATTGCTGCCTGGGAGGTTGAGGCTGCAGCGAATTGAGATCACACCACTGAACTCCAGCCTGAGCAACAGCGCGAGACCCTGTCTCAAACAAAACAAAACAAAACAAAACACTCCTCCATCTCCACACCACATGAAACATTCTTGGAGAGGGGGAGTGGGGAGGTTCTTCTGTGCACCCCTGAGCACCCTGCTTCCCTCTATCTGGAGGAAGGCCACATTGTCTGGTAAGTGCTTGTTTACTGTCTCTCTTCCTTCATGAGACTAAACTCTCCAAGAATAGAGCCCTGGACTTGTCTGCATCTGCAGAAGGGAGCCCCTAGCTTTGATTCAAAATAGGCTTGTAGGCCGGGCGTGGTGGCTCACGCCTGTAATCCCAGCACTTTGGGAGGCCGAGACGGGCGGATCACGAGGTCAGGAGATCGAGACCATCCTGGCTAACACTGTGAAACCCCGTCTCTGCTAAAAATACAAAAAATTAGCTGGGCGTGGTGGCGGGCGCCTGTAGTCCCAGCTACTCGGGAAGCTGAGGCAGGAGAATGGCGTGAACCCGGGAGGCGGAGCTTGCAGTGAGCCGAGATCGCGCCACTGCACTCCGGACTGGGAGAGACAGCAAGACTCCGTCTCAAAAACAAAAAAACAAAAAAAACAAAACAAAAAACCAAAAAAACAAAAAAAACCAAAATAGGCTTGTGGGCTTTTCATGAGAGGAAGAAATGGGTGAAAAATAATGATTATCATAATGAAAGTTTTTATTCATGTAAGATTTGGGGGGAGTCTGGTCTCCTGTATTCAAAATCTCATTTAAGGTCAAAAGACACTTGGGACCCATTTATCCCCACTGCACAGGTGAGCAAACTGAGGATTTGAGAGGTAAAGAGTAGATCTCACAACCAGTTAAGTGGTCAAAATACAAGTATGCCTGATTCCAAGGCCCCAGTTTCCCCCAATTACTGCACGGACAGAGGGCGAACTGGCAAGCTAGCGGGGCTGCTCTTCCGGCCGACGGGGCTCGAGAGCCCCAGACCCTCGGGTACCGAGACCGCCTTCGCCCCGGCGTACCGGCGACGCGTGCGCAGTGCAGTGAGGCGCCCCCTGCAGGCGGCGCGCAGGGGGCGGTAGCGGCTGAGGGGCGCTCAGTGCGCCTGCGCGCTTGTGGAGCTGGTGGCGGCGGTCCGCTGGGGCTCCGCTGTTCTCCGCGCTGCGGGCGCGGCCATGGCGCAGCCGGGGAAGCTGCTCAAGGAGCAGAAGTACGACCGGCAGCTGAGGTGAGCCGAGGCTCACCGAGCCGAGGGTGGGCCGGCGGGCTTCCCAGCGGCCGGGCCGGGCCTAAGGGCGCGGGCGGCGTGGTCGGGCCTCCCTCAGGCCTTCTTCCAGGCTGGGCCGGGCTGTGCGGGGCGCGGGAAGCCGGCGCCCGGGGCTCCCACCCTGGGCCAGAGGTCCTCCGCGAAGGCTGGGACCCTTTCCCCCGCCACGCGGTGTGCGGTTCGGGGGGCCGCGGTCCCCAGCGCCAGCCGGGTCGCTAAGGCGGCTGCCAGCTCCGCCTCGCTGCGCCCGGGCTCCTCGTTTTCCGAATGGGGAGGCCCGGAGCGCACCCCATCCCGGCCGCGAGGGCGGCACAGAGGGTTAGGTTTTGTTCTCAGCCGGGGCTGTCCAATGGAAATAAAATGCTAGTCTCATGTGAGCCGCAAATGTAATTATAAATTTTCTAGTAACCACACTAAAGGTAAAATGAAACAGGTGAAATTGATTTTTAAATACCGTTTAATCCAATATGTCCAAAACATTACTGTTTCAACACTATCAATATAAAAAGTTATTGAGATATTTTACTTAAATTTTTATTTCAAATTTTTTTTTTTTTTTTTTTTTTTTTTTTGGGTAGAAACGAGGTTTTCGCCACCTTGCCCAAGCTGGTCATGGGTATTTTCCTTTTTGAAACTGCCTTAGAGGACCGGCACAGTGACTCATGCCTGTAATCAGCACTTTGGGAGGCCGAGGCAGGCGGATCACCTGAGGTCAGGAGTTCGATACCAGCCTGGGCAACATGGTGAAACCCTGTTTCTATTTAAAAATTCAAAAATTAGCTGGGCGTGGTGGGGCGCGCCTGTAATCCTAGTTACTCTGGAAGCTGAGGCTGGAGAATCGCTTGAATCCAGGAGGTGTAGGTTTCAGTGAGCCGAGATCGTGCCACTGCACTCCAGCCTGGGTGACAGAGCGAGACTCTGTCAAAAAAAGCCCCCCCAAAACTGTCTTAGAAATACTGTATTTTACACTTAACAGCACATCTCAGTTAACACTAGCCTCGCTGCTTGTGCTCAGTAGTACATGTGGCTAGCAGCTACCTTAATGGACAGTGCAGGCCTAAGTCATCAGAAGGGTCCTTGGGTACTTCCCCACCCTTGCCTTTTCTCCTTGCACTCCCCATTCCTTGTTTATTGAGCGTCTTCTATGTCTTGAGGCTGTGGAGATAAAGCGGCTTGGCTTTCCTCCTTCCTGGAGCCTCTGAGATAACAGAAGTTATATGTCCCCAAGGACTGGAGCTTCTATTTGCGCCACTAGCCTAGTGCTGTATTAGAGGCTTTGGGCACTTAATTCTGAGAGCACCCTTGAAAGCAGCCATTTCCTGTGCCTTACAGTTGGAGAAACTGAGTCTTGGAGAAGTTAGGTAACTTGCCCAGAATTCCCCATATCTTTGAGCCAGGAGGTAAACTCAGGCTCTTCTGGCTTTTTTGGAGGTACTCAGTTACATCCTGCTTCCAGGCTTTTAGGAAAAGAAACAAGGTAACAGTCCTTATAACCAACTTAGGTTTTCTTGTAAATTCTTGGAGTTCTTGTGTTTCTAATGCAGGTATAACTGTGCATGACAGAGCTGAGAAGATAGTTGAGGTTACTAAGCAACTCTAACAAAAGAGGATTTTTGCTGAGGGCATTCCATTTAAGTCCCAAACTTTACCTTTCATTGTGAGAACTGGTTTTGAAGTGTCAAAGGGAAGCAGTTAGAAGCAAAATCCAGCAGTCAATAAGCTCCGCCTGACTTCACCATAGTTGGGCCAGCAAGATAGTAGAGAGGACTGATTCACTTGGCCTCTTCTTGAAGCATGTTACTTAGAGACACACTAGGATTCTTTTTTTTTTTTTTTTCTCCAGGGGCAAGGTCTCACTCTTTGACCCAGGCTAGAGTACAATGGCTAGAGTGCAGTGGCAGGAACACTGTTCACTGCAGCCTCAATTTCCTGGGCTCCAACAATCCTCCTGCCTCAGCCTCTTCAGTAGCTGGGACTACAGGCATGTGCCACCATGCTTGGCTAACTTTTTTAGAGATGGGGGTTTGCCCAGGCTGGTCTCGAACCCCTGCACTCAAGTGATCCTCCTGCCTCAGCCTCTCAAAGTGCTAGGATTACAGGCATGAGCCACAGCGCCTGGCCTCAGTATCCTTTTTGTTTTATTTTTGAGGTGGGTCTCAGTATGTTACCCAGGCTGGAGTGCAGTGGCTGTTCGCAGGTCTGATTATTGGCACACCACAGCCTTGATCTCATGGGCTGGAGTGATCCTCCTGCATCAGTCTCCCAAGCAGCTGGGATTACAGACACACACTGTCTCACCCTGCTTGAGATGCACCAGTATTTTTTTTCTTGAAATGGAGTCTCACTCTGTTGCGCAGGCTGGAGTGCAGTGGTGTGGTCTTGGCTCACTGCAATCTCTGCCTCCTGCGTTCATGTGATTCTCATGCCTCAGCCTCCCGAGTAGCTGGGATTACAGGTGCGCGCCACTGCGCCTGTCTAATTTTTGTATATTTAGTAGGCCAGCCTGGTCTCAAACTCCTGACCTCAGGTGATCTGCCTGCCTCGGCCTCCCAAAGTGCTGAGATTACAGGTGCGAGCCACCGCGCCCGGCCAAGATGCACCAGTATTCTTAAATTTACTCTCCAATGATCCAAGCATCTGTCAACCATGTATCTCAGGTGTCTTCTACATGCCATACTTTGATGGAGAAAACAGGCATTTACAGTCCATCTGGTTCTTCTAGACGATTCCTCCATACATTTGACAGCTGTCTGGGCCCTTACGAAGTGGAAAGATGGATGCTCAGCAAACAAAAACAAATGAAGCCAGGTGCAGTAGCTTGTGCCTGTAGTCCCAGCAACTCTAGAGGCTGAGGCGAGAGGAATGCTTGAACCCAGGAGTTCAAGACCAGTCTGGACAACATAGTAAGACCCTGTATCAAAAACAAACAAACAGAAAACACAGTTGCTTGACATACGCTCTGGAGGACATACTGGCTACATAACAAGGGGTAATCTGCTTTAGATCAGGTAACAGGGAAGGCACATTAATCATTCTATTAGAATGTACACTGGGTAATATACTTTAAAGCACTCCTGTAGAAGTTGATGTGAGGCTTTTCAGATGGTAATTCAGTTTTCTTGGTAAAGCTTTTGCAGAAGTCACAGTAATAAGCCCTGTATCGAGATCTTAAATGCATCTAACAAAATTTTTTTTTTTTTTTTTTGAGATGGAGTCTTGCTCTGTTGCCGGGGCTGGAGTGCAGTGGCGCGATCTCGGCTCACTGCAAGCTCCACCCCCCGGGTTCACACCATTCTCCTGCCTCAGCCTCCCGAGTAGCTGGGACTACAGGTTCCTGCCACCACGTCCGGCTAATTTTTTCTATTTTTTAGTAGAGATGGGGTTTCACCATGTTAAGTCAGGATGGTCTCTCGATCTCCTGACCTTGTGATCTGCCCGCCTTGGCTCCCAAAATGCTGGGATTACAGGCGTGAGCCACTGTGCCTGGCGCATCTAACATAATTTAAGAATAAATGAAATAGGGCTGGGCATGGTGGCTCATACCCATAATCCCAGCACTTTGGGAGGCCAAGTGAGCTGAGCTCACACCACTATACTCCACCCTGGGTGACAGAGCAAGACTCTATCTCAAAAAAAAAAAAAAAAGAATAAATGAAATAGAAAACAGATGAGGTTTTAAGTCCAAAGACACTTTTTAAATGTTTGTTTGTTTGTTTGTTTGTTTTGAGACACAGTGTCACTCTTGTGCCCAGGCTGATAAGGAGCTGGAAGACCAAGTTTCTGTTTCTGATTTGACCCTCTCCCTCTTTCCCCCTAACCATTCAAGGCATCAACCTGAGTTCTAGATTACTGTATAATCACTATAGTAATATCTGTTCCTGTCTTACCTGTTTTCGGTGGTTATCACATCAGTCTATGCAAAGACAGTTTAAAGATCACCATTCAAATAAAGCTGTATTTTCATGGAAGTTTTAAAAACGTCAAATTTGTGTCTGTTTTATAGGTTGTGGGGTGATCATGGGCAAGAGGCTTTAGAATCTGCTCATGTTTGCCTAATAAATGCAACGGCCACAGGAACTGAAATTCTTAAAAACTTGGTACTACCAGGTAATGCAGTTTTGTGGTTGTGTTCTAAATATACTTCTTTAAGATTATGACCTAGAACTATATATTCCTGACTGACTCTGTTTTGGCTGTCAGGTATTGGTTCGTTTACAATTATTGATGGAAATCAGGTCAGCGGAGAAGATGCTGGAAACAAGTATGTTCTATTCTTTTCAAATATATACATGTTAAGGAAGGCAAGGCCTGAATCTTAGCTTCACCTCTTCAGTCAGGGTGACTCAACTTTCAGTGGAAATCATCCTTATGTTTGGGATTATGGTGAGGAGGAAGTGAGATAATATATGTAAAGTGCTAGTATAGCATCTGGCAAATAGGGCATTAATAAATGGTACCCATCATTACTGTCTTTATTGTTATTAATATAAAGGAGTAGTCATTATTCCTTTATTCATGGAATATGGGCACTTCCTAAGCTCTTGCATTGATTCATAGGTGTTAGCATATGATTAACAATAATACCTGTTGTTTGTGATGTCTTCTAGGCTTAGTCTAGGTGTGTCTCTCTTTACACTGTGTCTACAAAAATGCTGTTTTAAAGATGGCCTGTGTATTCTTTAAAGATTATATTTAGACTTTCAGAGCATGCCCAAATTTGGATTTAAAGCTCACCTTTTCAGGGACTTGAAGTCTGGTATCTCGCATTGTATTTGTCAGTAACAACAACAGTGAGTAAATATAAGGAAAACCAGCAATTAGTTCATATTTAGTTTTGATGCCTTTTCTTTGGATGGTAGTGCCAGTTTCTGCTAGGCACAGCACAGCTTTTTTATTGATATATACAAAGAAGTCTTGTTATCTTTGCTTACTTGGTTGGTTAGAGTAGAATATGATAAAAATAAGGTTTCTCCTTATGGAGCCAGTGAGCTTATACCAAAAAGTGGCATCCTGACTCTGATCAGCAGCCTCATATCTGGGCCTTGAGACACATCAAGGGTATGTGTGGGAGGAAGTCTGAACAAGTCTGTTACAGTTACGTGCAAAAACAAATGGTTCAATACACCGAGAGTGGTCTATGGAACACTGGTTCTAGGGAACGTTAAGAGCTGTTCAATGGGCCAATGGGTTCCACGGTCAAATTAGTTTGGGAAATGGATCAAATGAAGTTAAAATTTCTTTACCATAAGATTTTAGTATCACATGTATTGTGTGTATTATGAATTTCCAAGAAGGAAATATAGTATATGGTGTTTCTCAAACTGTTTTTTTTTTTTTTTTTGGAGACGGAGCCTTGCTCTGTCACTCAGGCTGGAGTGCAGTGGTGCGATCTTGGCTCACTGCAAGCTCCGCCTCCTGGGTTCACACCATTCTCCTACCTCAGCCTTCTGAGTAGCCGGGACTACAGGCGCCCGCCACCACGCCCAGCTAATGTTTTCTATTTTTAATAGAGACGGGGTTTCACCGTGTTAGCCAGGATGGTCTCGATCTCCTGACTTCATGATCTGCCCGCCTCGGCCTCCCAAAGTGCTGGGATTACAGGCATGAGCTACTGCACCCGCCAGTGTTTCCCAAACGTTTTTTAGCCAAGGAACCCTTTTCTCTCAGAGGATCTTGTGAAATTCACATTCTGTGGTACACACTTTGGGAAAGAAACATTAATTTATTAGCCTATCTTTCTTTTTTTTTTTTTTTTTTTTTTTGAGACGGAGTCTCGCTCTGTAGCCCAGGCTGGAGTGCAGTGGCCGGATCTCAGCTCACTGCAAGCTCCGCCTCCCGGGTTCACGCCATTCTCCGGCCTCAGCCTCCCGAGTAGCTGGGACTACAGGCGCTGCCACCTCGCCCGGCTATTTTTTGTATTTCTTAGTAGAGACGGGGTTTCACCGTGTTAGCCAGGATGGTCTTGATCTCCTGACCTCGTGATCCGCCCATCTCGGCCTCCCAAAGTGCTGGGATTACAGGCTTGAGCCACCGCGCCCGGCCTAGCCTATCTTTCTTTATAAGTTTCATCTGATTTTCTTCCACCAGGAAGGCTATTATAATCTGTAATCACAATATAGTTTGTTTTATACTATGAATGAAATATACATGCTATTACAATAACAACTTTTCCTTTATAGTCAGTAAACTTTACTTTTTTTTCCTTTGTTTTGTTCACTTTAGTTTCTTCCTTCAAAGAAGCAGTATTGGCAAGGTAAACAATTTGTTAGAGAATATAGTTGCATGTGAGCATCTAACGATGCCACTATGTTTTGATTGCTTGAAAAGCTTTTACTTTAAAAATGTGTATTATTTCTCTGAAAAAAAAGTTAACTAATTTTTCTCATCTTGTAAATCTTCATATGTTTGGTAGTTTAAAAACTTAGAAGTACTGTCTGTGTTTATACGTTGTATCCTGTATTAAAGCTAAATCTTGAGTAATGTTAATATTCAGAGGATGGATTCTGGTTAACAAATTTTTTTTTTTTTTTTTTTGAGACGGAGTCTTGCTCTGTCAGTCACCCAGGCTGGAGTGCAGTGGCGCAATCTCGGCTCACTGCAAGCTCTGCCTCCCGGATTCACGCCATTCTCCTGCCTTAGTCTCCTGAGTAGCTGGGACTACAGGCGCCCACCAACATGCCTGGCTAATTTTTTGTATTTTTAGTAGAGACGGGGTTTCACCGTGTTAGCCAGGATTGTCTTGATCTCCTGACCTCGTGATCCGCCTGCTTCAGCCTCCCAAAGTGCTGGGATTACAAGCGTGAGCCACCAGGCCCGGCCTAAAAAAATCTTACCAAACCATAATAGGCAACTTAGTGAAATGACCGTTAGCTTAGTGATTAACCACTCTTGAACAGGATTATAGATGTGGGGGATTAGAGTGAGTCAGAACTTGATCCAGGATATCCCTGCCTGCTACCCAGAGTTTTTTGGTCATTTGCCTAATCAAAAAAGTAGAGTACAGATAATGTCATTTGAGAACTCTGGATGATGATGGTTTTGCTTTGTTTTAAGTAATATTCTGTTGAGTCTTAAACACTAGGGGAAGCAGAATTGGCTGGGAGCAGTGGCTCACGCCTGTAATCTCAGCACTTTGGGAGGTCAAGGCAGGAGGATTGCTTGAGGCCAGGAGTTCAAGACCAGCCTGGGCAACAACATGTCAAGACCCTGTCTCTACAAAATATCAAAAAAAAAAAAAAATTAGCTGGTCATGGTAGCACATGCCTGTAGTCCCACCTACTTGGGAGGCTGAGGCAGGAGGGTTGCTTAAGCCTAGGAGTTCAAGGCTGCAGTGAGCTATGATCAGGCCACTATGCTTCAAACTGGACAACAGAACAAAAGCCTGTCTCTAAAAAGAAAAAAGAAGGGAAACAGAGTTGTCATACTTATGCATGAAATTTGCATAGTTTTACAGTATATTTGCCTGTTCCATAAATTGGGGGATTATATTGTGACCAAGTTTTTTCTAATTCAAGTTAAATGCTTTGTTTTTAAAAAGAACCGAGCTGAAGCTGCCATGGAATTCTTACAAGAATTAAATAGCGATGTCTCTGGAAGTTTTGTGGAAGAGGTATATATGTACACACATTGTTATGTCTGTGCTGAAATACAATTTTTTAAATAATTAAAAGCCCTAGAAATTTAGAATTTTGAATCTTTTCTTTTTTTTTTTTTTTTTTTTTGAGACGGAGTCTCACGCTGTTGCCCAGGCTGGAGTGCAGTGGCGCGATCTCGGCTCACTGCAAGCTCCGCCTCCTGGGTTCACACCATTCTCCTGCCTCAGCCTCCTGAGTAGCTGGGACTACAGGTGCCCGCCACCGCGCCCGGCTAATTTTTTGTATTTTTAGTAGAGACGGGGTTTCACTGTGGTCTCGATCTCCTGACCTTGTGATCTGCCCGCCTCGGCCTCCCAAAGTGCTGGGATTACAGGCTTGAGCCACCGCGCCCGGCCTGAATCTTTTCTTTTTTTTTTTGAGACGGAGTCTCACTCTGTCGCCCAGGCTGGAGTGCAGTGGCCTGATCTCAGCTCACTGCAAGCTCCGCCTCCCGGGTTTACGCCATTCTCTTACCTCAGCCTCCCAAGTAGCTGGGACTACAGGCGCCCGCCAACTCGCCCGGCTAGTTTTTTTGCATTTTTTAGTAGAGACAGGGTTTCACTGTGTTAGCCAGGATGGTCTCGATATCCTGACCTTGTGATCCGCCCGTCTCGGCCTCCCAAAGTGCTGGGATTACAGGCTTGAGCCACCGCGCCCGGCCGAATCGTTTTTTTTTTTTTTTTTTTTTTTGAGACGGAATCTCGCTCTGTCGCCCAGGCTGGAGTGCAGTGCCGCGATCTCGACTTACTGCAAGCTCCGCCTCCTGGGTTCATGCCATTCTTCTGCCTCAGCCTCCCAAGTAGCTGGGACTATAGGCGCCAGCCACCACTCCTGGCTAATTTTTTGTATTTTTAGTAGATATGAGTTTCACTGGGTTAGCCAGGATGGTCTCCATCTCCTGACCTCATGATCTGCCCTTCTCGGCCTCCCAAAGTGCTGGGATTACAGGCGTGAGCCACCGCGCTTGGCCAGAATTTTGAATCTTTGTGTCTTTTATGATTAGTTGAATTGGGTTTGTTGCCTCATTTGTTGTAAAATAGCTTAACTGTCTCTGCCATGTTTAATATGATCGTAAATTTTTTTTTTCTTTGCTGCCCTATTTAGAGTCCAGAAAACCTTCTAGACAACGATCCTTCATTTTTCTGTAGGTTTACTGTTGTGGTTGCAACTCAGCTTCCTGAAAGGTAAATTTTTTTTGTTAATATGTTTTTATTTTAATCTTATTAGATTTGCATTGTTTTATTTTCTTTGCACAGTCTATGATGATACGGTTTTTAAAATTCTTAAATTCTACAGAAACTTTAAATGTGAAACTTTTTTTTTTTTTTTTTTTTGAGATGGAGTCTCACTCTGTCGTCCAGGCTGGAGTACAGTGGCATGATCTTGGCTCACTGCAAGCTCCGCCTCCCGAGTTCACACCATTCTCCTGCCTCAGCCTCCTGAGTAGCTGGGACTACAGGCGCCTGCCACCACTCCTGTCTACTTTTTTGTATTTTTATTAGAGACAGGGTTTCATTGTGTTAGCCAGGATGTTCTCGATCTCCTGACCTCATGATCTGCCCGCCTCGGCCTCCTAAAGTGCTGGGATTATAGGCGTGAGCCACTGTGCCCAGCCATAAATTTGAAACTCTTGACCAGGCATGGTGGCTCACACCTGTAATCCCAACACTTTGGGAGGCTGAGGAGGGTGGATTGCTTGAGCTCAGGAATTTGAGACTAGCCTGGGCAACATGGCAAAACCCCATCTCAACAAAAAATACAAAAATTAGCTGGGAGTGGTGGCGCATGTCTGTGGTCCCAGCTACTCTGGAGGCTGAGATGGGAGGATTGCTGGAGCCTGGGGAGTCGAGGCTGCAGTAAGCCATGATCATGCCACTCTACTCAGCCTAGGTGACGAAGTGAGACCTGGTCTCAAAAAAAGTAAATTTAATTGGGAGGCCAAGGCGGGCAGATCATGAGGTCAAGAGATCGAGACCATCCTGGCCAACATGGTGAAACCCCATCTCTACTAAAAATACAAAAATTAGCTGGGCGTGGTGGCGCACGCCTGTAGTCCCAGCTACTTGGGAAGCTGAGGCAGGAGAATCACTTGAATCAGGGAGGCGGAGCTTGCAGTGAGCCAAGATCATGCCACTGCACTCCAGTCCTGGTGACAGAGTGAGACTCTGTCTCAAAAATAAATAAATAAATAAAATAAATTTAAAAAAAATTCTTAGAAATCTTCCAACATTGAAAAGATGGGAAGATAAAAATACTGAAACTTTTTTTTTTATTATTATTCTTTAGACAGAGTCTTGCTCGGTTGCTCAGGCTGGAGTGCAGTGGCACAATCTTAGCTCAATCTTAGCACATTCTTGTGCCTCAGTCTCCCAAATAGCTGGGATTATAGGCAAGTGCTACCATGCCCAGCTAATTTTTGTATTTTTAGTAGAGACGAGGTTTCACCATGTTGGCCAGGCTGATCTCAAACTCCTGGCCTCAAGTGATCTGCCCGCCTCAGCCTCCCAAAGTCCTGGGATTACAGGCGTGGAGCCACCAAGCCCAGTCTTAGATGTGAAACTTTTGGAATATATTTAGAGCAATTAAACTGAACTTTTTTTTGTTTTTTTTTTGTTTTTTTTTTTTGTTTTGTTTTAGTGATTAAAAACTAGTTAGAATTGATTATTGAAGGCTGGGTGCAGTGACTCATGCCTGTAATTCCAGCAGTTTGGGAGGCTGAGACAGGTTCGGATCACTTGAGCGCAGGAGTTTAAGACCAGCCTGGGCAACATGGCAAAACCTTGTGTCTACAAAAAATACAAAATTTAGCCAGATGGTGTGCATGCTGTGGTCCCAGCTACTCAGAAGGCTGGGATGGGATAATCACTTGAGCTCGGGAGGTCAAGGCTGTAGTGAGCCATGATCATGCCACTGCACTCCAGCCTGGGCAACAGAGTGAGACCCTATCTTTAAAAAAAAAAAAAAAAAAGAGAGAATTGGTTATTGGAATTGTTGGGGGTGTATTTGTGGGTTTTATATTTTTTCTCTGTCATGGAAATGTTTAGAATTATCTTTCTTTAACGTTTCTCCTTAATATGGCAGACTAAGGTTTCACATCCCTCTTGTCCAAAAGATGTACTTTCTTTCATTGAGACTGCAACCTATGGAAATGCTTGCTTTTCAGTGTATTCTTGACCTGCTTATGTAAACGCAGTTATGTACCTTTGCATTTATTATTTAGTAAGAAAGTTGCTTTATTTTAAGACATTTTCATGTTTTGCATGTTCCCATGTTTGGCATATTTCCATTTGCTTATGTTCATATTTTGCCTTTTTTTTTTTTTTTTTTTAACAGCACTTTACTACGCTTAGCAGATGTCCTCTGGAATTCCCAGATTCCTCTTTTGATCTGTAGGACATATGGACTAGTTGGTTATATGAGGATCATTATAAAAGAACATCCAGGTAAAATTGTTGAGCATATGGGCTTACTATTGGTTGCTTTAGCTATAATTTTAGAAACTTGACAATTTAGAAAGTCAATTTTAAATTACGAAGTAAATTTGTAGCAGCACATCTCTAGTTGCAGATTCAAAGTGGCAATCAGATTCAATAGGCTGCAATCTACTCTTTATGTAGCATTATAGAAGGATACAAAGCAGGACATATAACAGGTACAGCTTCTTCATCTTATTAGGAGATCCAGCAACTATGCAAGTACCCAGCTTCTTTTGCCCCCAACCCACATCAGGCATGTATGGCTGTGGAGAGCTAAGGAATGTGGGTCACTCTGACCCATGAAGTTACACCACCTTTCCCCTCTCCCGTCTTTTTTTTTTTTTTTTTTTTAAGACAGAGTTTCGCTCTTGTTGCCCAGACTGGAGTACAATGGCACAATCTTGGCTTACTGCAACCTCCACCTCCCGGGTTCAACTGATTCTCCTGCCTCAGCCTCCCAACTGGGATTACAGGCGCCCGCCACCATGCCCAGCTAATTTTTTGCATTTTTAGTAGAGACAGGGTTTCACCATGTTGGCCAGGCTGATCGAGAACTCCTGACCTCAGGTGATCCACCCGCCTTGGCCTCCCAAAGTACTGTTATTACAGGTGTGAGCCACTGCACCATGCCCCTCCCATCTTTTATTTCATCCTCATGCAGGCTTTAGGTTCTCTCAATTCAGGTGCAATTTCACACGACAAAGACATTTACATAACTACTGTTCCCAAGGAAACTGTTGTAGGAGACCAAAGTCGTTTATAGGCAGACCTCCATCAGCTGAGGGTTGATATAAGCCCTTTACTTATAAAATTTTAATCATCATAAAATTTTCATCCAGTATTCATACAATGCTCTTTATTTACTCAAGAAAGCATTTTTACTATGAGCCAAGCACTCTGTTAATGTGATGATAGCCATTGGTATTGGTAGTGTCACTGAGGAGTAATATCTGTGTGGGCAGTTAGGGAGTGCTTGTCAGGATAAGCTCTGGCTGCTGGTGGTAAGCCATTTAAGAGTTGAAAGTGGTGTCAACTGATGGGAGGGGACAAAAGAGTGGAAAGTGGGAGAGTGACCGGGTAAACATTTTATTTTAAATGGGTCACTCTGAAGTTGAGTAGAAAGTAAATGGATTTAAAGGGGCAAAGATTGGAGGCAGGGATTGCTGTTAGAAATTTCCAGTGGCCTAAGTAAGAGGCAGTGTGTTCTTTTTTCCAGTTTAGGGAAGAGAAGAAGAGGGGGTGAATAATAATAAAGGTTTGGCATTGCTAGTTATGTGCCTGCCTTTATAAGAATTATTTCATTTACTCTTTCCAAAACCTTTATAAGGTACAGATTGAGCATCATTAATCCAAAAATCCAAAATCAGAAATGCTCCAAAATGCAAAACTTTTTGAGCACTGATATGATATTCAAAGAAAACACTCATTGGAACATTTCTTCAGATTTTTGGGTTAGAGAGCTCATCTAGTATGTATTTGCAAATATACCAAAATCTCAGCAAAATCCAAAACACTTACGGTCCCAAGCATTTTGGATAAGAGAGATATACAGCCTATAGAACTTTAATATCTGCTTTTTATAGAAGATGCTGAGGCAATGAGAGATTAAATTTTTTGCCTAAGGTCACATAGTTAGCAAGTGACAAAACTGGGCCTACCTCTAAGCACTCACTGAAATTATACACTCTCCTGTACTCTCTCATGTGGACAGCAGTGTACAGAGTGAGATTAGGAAGTGGGGAGTTACTGATATTGGGGCCAAGGAAGCAAGAAGTGAAGGATGACCATCAGGTTTCTGGGGAAGAGTCTAGGTAGATGGTGATGCTGTCTATTAAAGACCACAAGAGGAGGGAGGATAGGTTGTTAGTTGCTATCTGTACATAGGTTTTGTCAATTTTGAGCTTTTCCAGTTAGAACAAATTCTGTTCTAAAGGAATCTTGTTTTACTTTTACTAAAACTTTATAGTTGACTTAAGATTTGTGCATTTTACTATGTGTAAATCGTACCTTAATAAAACAGTGAAAAAACCTGTGGGCCCTGTACCCATTTAAAAATTAAAGATTTCGTAAGTTTCTATAATTCAGTGTATTGTCATCAGTATTGCCAAATAATTAAGTTTATCTTTTGAGCTGGGCACAGTGGCTCACACCTGTAATCCAAGAACTTTGGAAGGCCGAGACAGGAGGAGCCCTTGAATCCAGGAGTTTGAGACTAGCCTGGGTGACATAGTGAGACCCCATCTGTACAAAAAAATTAAAAAATTAGTTGGGCACAGTGACACGAGACTGTAGTCCCACCTTCTCAGGAGGCTGAGGTGGGAGGATCCCTTCAGCCCAGGAGTTTCAGCAGTGAGCTATGGTTGTGCCACTGCACTTTAGCCTGGGTAATACAGCAAGATCCTATCTCTCTTTTTTTTTTTAAGTATTAAATTTATCCTTTTGAATTCTTTGTTTCACAGTAATAGAATCTCATCCAGATAATGCATTAGAGGATCTACGACTAGATAAGCCATTTCCTGAACTGAGAGAACATTTTCAGTCCTATGATTTGGATCATATGGAAAAAAAGGTTGGTAGTGTGTGTGACCTTACATTTACAGATAGACCTAAAACATTTTTTTTTTAACCTAAGGTTTTTGAATTACACCAAAGTGGGAAAATCCTATAAACCTCCATATTCCTGTCATCCAGATTACCCAATAACAATATTTTACCTTGTTTTCAACATATTAATTTTTCTCCAAAATTAAAAAACTTTTTTGTTGAAGAAAAGTATGTATACTGAACATCTGTGTAATCACTACCCAGGTCAAGAAATTAGACATTAACCTATTCCAGGTGGGGAGATGGGGATGGTTAATGGGTACCAAAAAAATAATTGGAAAGAATGAATAAGATTTACTCCTTGAAAGCACAACAAGGTGACTATAGTTAATAATGACAACTTAGTTATACGTTTTAAAATAATTAAGAGTTTAATTGGATTATTTGTAACATAAAGGATAAACGCTTGAGGGGATAAATGCTATACAGATACCCCTCTCCATGATGTGCTTCACATTGCATACCTGTATCAAAGCATGTACCCCATAAATATATATACCTAAGTATCCACAAAAATTGAAAATAAAAAATTTTCAAACAGAAAACAGAAACAAAAAAATTCCAAGAAGTCCTCTTTATGGCCTTTTTCTAAACAAATAGAAATAATGACATAAAAATATAATTTAAAGAGTATATGTATTTTTGCCTACTTCCATATTAATTAACATGCAGTTGTTTATTTGGTTCATCAGAAAACAGAAAAGATCCTCCTTTCTTTAGGATTGGTGTCTGAAATTGAGATTTGAGCTGTGTCTTTGGGTGGCAGTCTCTGAGACTGTTTTGCTGGTATAAGGGGGACAATCATAGTATATACGTGACATACTAGGTATCTACCTCTAGAAGAATTTGTAAAGCAGTTTTTATTAACTCAGTTCATTTTCCTCTATTCATTACTCTGCATATATTAGGAGATCATAAATATTGTTGAATTTGTTGAAAACGAGATGGTACAGTGAAGAATTAATAATACCAATATTTTCTTTTATTTGTCTCTCATTTTTAGGACCACAGCCATACTCCATGGATTGTGATCATAGCTAAATATTTAGCACAGTGGTATAGTGAAGTATGTCCTTTTAAAAAAAAATTTCATATGCAACTGTATTTTCAGTTTCTTATAAAGGATTTCCTTGATGGGGAATGGGAGATTAATTTTTTTCCTTATGGGCTTGTATGGTAGGGCAAATGGATGCTTTTAAATTTAAATCCAGCAGTTCATCTTTTGATCCTGATAATTTTAATTAACAAAATGAAATTTGATGAATGTCATTATGAAACTGGCAGGGGGAAAGAATGTAGATAAATGGTCACAGTGTCTGTTTTCTATCAAGTGAGCCTCTGATTTCACAGAGAAATATATTTGTTGATGAAATCTTAGGTAGAGAATGGGGGACACTGTAGACTTTCAATTTCTGTATTTTGAGTTTTTAATAACTAGATTTTTAAAATTTTTAACCAATTTAGACAAATGGACGAATACCTAAAACATATAAAGAAAAAGAAGACTTCAGAGATTTGATTAGACAAGGTAATATTATGGGATATGATTAAATACTATATAAAGCTTGAAAAGCAAATTGCTAGAGGCAAGTGCTTATTGGATTTCTGTTGACACCTTTGTCAGATGATATCATCATGAGCTTTTATTTCACTTTCCCTCTGGAGAAGTTAAGAAGCCACGCCTTGTATAGTTTTAAGGACTAATGATAAGCCATATTTCTTCTTAAGATTCAATATTCTGCAGAATCTGACAAGGTTATTTTTATAATGGGGGAACAGAAGAGTGAAAAGAAAAGGGCTGTTGTTTGCTAACAATTTCCCATTAAAATAGGAATTCTAAAGAATGAAAATGGGGCTCCAGAAGATGAAGAGAATTTTGAAGAAGCCATTAAAAATGTGAACACAGCACTAAATACAACTCAGGTAATGAAAGAGTTGCTGAGGAATTCACATGAACAAGGTGTTTTCTAGAGTCCTTCACTATTAAATGGTTGATTACAATGATTTAAGTTCATGTTTTCTAAATGTATAGTTAGAAATAAATACAGGGCCGGGCATGGTGGTTCATCCTAGCACTTTGGGAGGCTGAGGCGGGCGGACCACCTGAGATCAGGAGTTTGAGACGAGCCTGGCCAACATAGCGAAACCGCGTCTCTACTAAAAATACAAAAATTAGCCGGGCATGGTGGAACATACCTGTAACCCCAGCTACTCGGGAGGCTGAGGCAGGAGAATCACTTGAACCCAGGAGGCAGACGTTACAGTGAGCCAAGATTACACCACTGCACTCCAGCCTGGGCAACAGAGTAAGACTCCGCCTCAGGTGCCTTTGGTTTTGTTATGGCTTAGTTGTTGAAGTATGACCATTGAAGTTTTTGGGGAGCTTTGGAATAACACCTGGTAGTTTAAGTTAGAATTTTCTTGCAACTTAAAACAGCAAATATGCTGCCTTTCAAGTTAGGAAGGCACGTAAGATGATATTACCAACTTTTTGGAGACAACAAGGCAGCATTGCTTAGTGATTAAAAGTGTGCGCTGGCTGGGGCCAGGCGTGGTGGCTCACACCTGTAATCCCAACACGTTTGGGAGGCCGAGGAGGGCAGATCACATGAGGTCAGGAGTCCAAGACCAGCCTGGCCAACATAGTGAAACCCCATCTCTACTAAAAATACAAAAAATTAGCTGGGCATGGTGGTGGGCACCTGTAATCCCAGCTACTTGGGAGACAGGTTGCAGTGAGCTGAGATCTTGCCAGTGTACTCCAGCCTGGGCAACAAGAGTGAGACTCTGTCTCAAAAAAAAAAAAAAAAAAAAAAAGTGGTTGCCGGCCAGGTGTGGTGGCTCACACCTGTAATCCCGACACTTTGGGAGGCCAGGGCAGAAAAATTGCTTGAGCCCAGTTCAAGACCAGCCTGAACAACACAGGGAGATACGGTCTATACAAAAAATTTAAAAATTAGATGGGTGTGGTGGCATGCACCTATAGTCTCAGCTACTCTGAACCCTAAGATGGTGGGAGGATCGCTTGAGCCCTGGAGGTTGAGGCTGCAGTGAGCCATGATTGTGCCACTGCATTGCAGCCTAGGCAATGATATGAGACCCTGTGTCCATAAAAGTATGTGCTTTGTGAATCACTTTTCTGGGGTGATGAAAATTTTCTGTTTTAATTGGGGTTATGGTTAAAAATATGTATATATAGTTATCAAAATGCATTGAGTTGGACATTTAAAATCTCTGTATTTCACTGAATATAAAACCACAGTTGAAAAGAAAAGGTTCAATAGTTGGGGGACAGTAAGTTAAATAAACAGATAAAAATGCACCAGGTACTATGAACAAAATTACAGCAGAACAAAGGGGCAGAGAGCATGTTGGGGACAAGGGAATCTGGGGTTGAGAGACAATTTTAGATAGGGAGCCAGGGAGACTTTCCAAGAGACGTTTAAGCAGAAGCCTGAGTGAAGTGACATGCAGAGGTCTGGGGGAAGAGCTTTTCAGTTGGAGGAAGTACATGTGCAAAGAAGTGGGAGGAAGCTTGACTTTTGTTCAAGCATCAGTAAGCAAGTCAGTGTGATTGGAATGAAGTGAAAAAGGGGGGAAAGTGGTAGGAAGGATTTGAGTTTGGAGAGGCAGAAAGGACCAGATCATAAAGGTCTTGCAGGCTATTTAAGCATTTCGATCAGGGAAGTGGAGTGAGCTGCTTTATATTCTAAAAGACCATTCTGGCTTTGGTGAGGAGAACAGAATTGAGGGGACTGGGAATGGAAGCAGAGAGACCAGTTAGGAGGTACCACTGAGACATTTCATTTTTCCACGCAACAGTAGAATTAAAGCCTATGATTTGTATACTTTTTTTTTTTTTTTTGAGACAGGGTCTCACATTGTTGCCCAGGGTAGAGTGCAGTGATGCAATGACTGCTCACTGCAGCCTTGACCTCCTGGGTTCAAGTGATCCTCCCACCTCAGCCTCCCAAGTAGCTGGGACCACAAGCATGTGCCACCATGCCTAGCTAATTTACTTTTACATTTTGTATAGGCAGGGTCTCCCTGTTTTGTTTAGGTTGATCTCGAACTCCTGGCCTCAAGTGACCCTCGCACCTTGGCCTCCTAAATGCTGGGATTATAGGTGCGAGCCATCGTGCTTGGCTTTATACTCTTGATTAATGTATGAAGATTTTGCTAGCAATAAAATTACTTTATAGTTTTAGTGTTTTTCAGAGTGGTTGTCTCAGTGGTCACTAATTAGGGTGCAAGGGTTTCCAATTTTTGACAAGATGGAAAATCATGGAATACTACAAGTCTATAATCTATTTTGTCTTCAGATTTAACTATATAAAATCATTTACTGGGGCCCCTTCTTTACCCCATTTATGGTATAAGAGAATAGGTATTAAATGCTAGCAACAGTGGGCAGGAGAGGTCTTTCTTCCATTCTTTCTTTCCCCATCAAATCTTCATATGGTACTGATTCTAAATAAAATTATAAACAAATCAGAAGTTTGTATTTGATTACAATTTGAGAATTCAAAGAATATATCTGAAGAAATAGCACTGAAAATAAAGATGGGCAAATTCTTAATACTGTGTAAGTAAATGTTTCATGTTCCTTTGTTAGATCCCAAGCAGTATTGAAGATATATTTAATGATGATCGCTGCATAAATATCACCAAACAGGTAACAACAACAAAAGTAAAAACATTGCTGTCTAAACCTTTGGGTCAAAGTAAAACGCCGCTTAATGTTAATTTTTTCTTATTCTTTTAGACTCCATCATTTTGGATTTTAGCTCGTGCCTTAAAGGAATTTGTGGCCAAAGAGGGTCAAGGAAATTTACCTGTTCGAGGCACAATCCCTGATATGATTGCAGATTCAGGCAAATATATAAAACTGCAAAACGTGTATGTCACTGTTTTCAAACTATGTAGTATACAAAGTCTGATTATATTAGAGATAAACATTTTATCATCCTATCAGAAATCAAATGAAAGTTTATTATAACCTCATTGCTTATAAATAAACTAGGCCAGCTGTAGTGGCTCATGCCTGTAATCCCAACACTTTGGGAGGCCAAGGTGGGAGAATTGCTTGAGTCCAGGAGTTTGAGACCATCCTGGGCAACAGTGAGACTTCCGTCTCTACAAATTGAAAAATTAGGTGGGCATGGTAGCATGTGCCTTTAATCTCAACTACTCGGGAGGCTGAGGCAGAAGGATCTCTTGAGCTCAGGAGTTTGAGGCTGCAGTGAGCCATGATCATGCCACTTCACTTCAGCCTGGGTGACAGAGCAAGACCCTGTTTCAAATAAATAAGTAAGTAAAAATAAGCTAAAGAACTTAGGCCAGGCTGGGCGCAGTGGCTCATGCCTGTAATCCCAGCACTTTGGGAGGCTGAGGTGGGCGGATCACAAGGTCAGGAGATTAAGACTATCCTGGCTAACATGGGAAAACCCGTCTCTACTAAAAATCCAAAAAAATTAGCCGGGAGTGGTGGCGGGCGCCTGTAGTCCCAGCTACTTGGGAGGCTGAGGCAGGAGAATAGCGTGAACCTGGGAGGTGGAGCTTGCAGTGAGCCGAGATCATGTCACTGCACTCCAACCTGGGTAACAAATGAGACTCTGTCTCAAAAAAAAAAAAAAAGAAACTTAGGCCGGGCGGGCGGATCATGAGGTCAGGAGATCAAGACCATCCTGGCCAACATGGTGAAACCCTGTCTCTACTAAAAAAAAATACAAAAAATTAGCCAGGCGTGGTGGTGCATGCCTGTAGTCCCAGCTATTCGGGAGGCTGAGGCAGGGGAATCGCTTGAACCCAGGAGGTGGAGGTTGCAGTGAGCCGAGATCGCACCACTGCACTCCAGCCTGGCGACAGCAAAATTCCACCTCAAAAAAAAAAAAAACAACTTAGGGATGATTCTTTTTAGGCTCAAAGCAAAATTGAGTGGGAAATACAGAATTACCACATATCCCTAGGAGGCAGAGTTGTTTTTTTTCCCTACCTCATGATAAACTTAATATTTGGTCACTTAACTCTGTGCTATGAACTATGTGTATTAAGTAATTTAATATACACACAAGGTTCACAACAACCTTAGAGAGAGATACTGTTATTGTCCCCATTTTACACTTGAAGAAACTAAGGTATTGAAAAGGTTACTTATACAAGATCAGATAGCTGGTAAATGGCAGAACCAAGATTTGAACCCCAGAAAACCCAGTACCAGAGCCTGTATTCTTAGCCATGGCCCTATACTGCCTTCTATTTGTAACTTAAAACCATGACGTGTTTGATGAATTTTTTATCTTAATGTTTCATAATTTATAGTCTATAACTAGACACCTTGCTATCCAGGTATCACTAGCCTGAGCCCAGATAGACTATCATAGGGATGGATCTCAATGAATATTACCCTCATATAGTTAGGGCATGGTGCAAAGAATCCAGGTCTGCTGGCTTGGTTTCTTTGGGGGCCAAGTAATGTCACATAGAGATGATCTCTGTTCCCCAGACAGATTTCACTCTTTATCATGTCACCATTGAAAGAATCTTGGTTTGTTGTCCTAGCCTAAGAGTTCAACTACTTAAAACTTGGGGAAGGTCAATTGAGGGTAGAAATTAGTGTTCAGGCTGACTACATGAGAGGTAGTCAGCCTGAACACTAATGATTTTTAGAGGGTGAAAGGTAAATAGACCTAAAGAAGTTTTATGGCCGGGTGCAGGGGCTCACACCTGTATTCCCAGCACTTTGGGAGGCCAAAGCAGATGGTGAAATGTGCCACAGGGGATGTTCACAGGTATTTTAAATGATTGAAATTTTACATTTTCCATGGTCTCAGTAGTATAGATAATTATTGGATAAGGGTTTTTTTTTCCTCTCATAATAAATGGGGAGTATTTTAAAACAATCAGAGGTACAGCATGTTTATCTGTGGCAATGCTAAAAAAGTATGAAGGTCAGTTAATTGAAAATTGTCATGAATACAGTATTTTCAGTTTTTAAATCACTTGAACCCAGGAGTTCGAGACCAGCCTGGGCAACATGGTGAAACTCCGTCTGTACAAAAAGACAAAAATTAGTCGGGTGTGGTAGCGTGCACCTGAATTTCCAGCTACTTGGGAGACTGAGGTGGGAGGATCATATGAGTGTGGGAAGTTGAGGCTGCATTGAGCCAGGATTGCACCACTGCACTCCAGCCTGGGCGGCAGAGCGAGATCCTGTCTCAAAAAACAAAAACAAAAGTTTTACATTGGAGATGAACAGTTTTAATGTATTTAACTTTCCTTGGACTTGACTTCCAGGAGATAAGTCATGTTCTTCAGTAACGTATTTTTTAGGTCCTCTGTCACAGAGCCTAAATCATAGATCCCTCTAGGAGGGCAGTTTTTAAGTTGGGTGCTGTTAGAGGGACCCTGGGTTTTAGTGGGCACTGAGAGTCTGTCACTAACACTGGAAAGATTCCCAGCTACTCATAGATGCTGTTGATAGCATTTCCCTGGCATTTTCACATTTCATACATTGTCAGGCCTGTGTTTTTTCATGAAAAGGAAATAAATTTTTTGTTCATGGGAACAATTTAAATTTTGCTAATTTAAAAATTTGTTAATAATTGCTTTTTGTTCTTTTTCAGTTACCGTGAAAAAGCAAAGAAGGATGCTGCTGCTGTGGGTAATCATGTTGCCAAATTGCTGCAGTCCATTGGCCAGGTAAGCTGCTGGGCACACTGTGCCCATACAGGCCTGAGCACATAACTCCAGCCAGAAAGGGTTTAGAGACAGAGGGTGTGGCACTAGCTCTGCTTATTTAGGGGGAGCTCTCGTTTGCCTGCCTAATGGGAGAGCTTGTGATAAGGAAACAAGATATTTTTAAAGTGCTCTCCCAGCTCTTGGAGAAAGCCTCCCCATCTCACAGTGATTGGCTTTGTGCCGCACCCTTTGTTAATCTTGTCTTTTAAACTGGAACAGAATCTGTATTTATCTCTTTACAGGCACCAGAGTCCATTTCAGAGAAAGAATTAAAATTACTCTGTAAGTCCCCTTGAATTAATTTCCTTATTTTGCTTGATGGAAATGTGCCACAGGGAATGTTCCCAGGTATTTTGAATGGTTGAAATTTTAAGTGTTCCATGGCCTCAGTGATATAGATAATTACTGGGTAAGGTTTTTTTTTTTTTTTCCCCCTCCCATAATAAATGGAGAGTATTTTAAGACTGAATCAGAGGTAGAGCATGTTTATCTGTGGCAATGCTAAAAAGGCATGATGGTCAGTTAATTGAAAATTGCCATTAATACAGTATTTTCAGGTTTTAAATGTTAACTAATTTAGGAAATTTTTTTGTCTGAAGACTTTGGGTATGAAATCTTGAGTCACGTGTACATTAACAATATTGGTTTAAATACTCATTTTGATCTGTGTTAAATGACTGTAATGGAGTTAAGAATTTTGCCATCTAGTTTCAGAGTGGTTAGGTTCGTAGGAGTCTCTCAGTAACTCCTCAGTAGGCCAAAAGCATTTTCTTTTATTTAAGAGTCAGTTTCAAAATACTCAATCTGTTGTGCATGCCATCTGAAGATTTCTCCCTGTAGCTACTGCTCCTACGTCCTGTGGAAGTTTATATTTTGCAAGCTCCCCATCCTTAAAATAGATTTATCCAAGCTTTCCATTTTATGACTTCTCCACAATGTCTGTTTAGGCTCAGTTTTAATGTTTTCTGCCACAACTAATCTTGCACCTTGTTTGTTCTATTAGACTAATCTTGAATTAGCATTTGTTGTATTAGATTATATACTGCTAGATCGAAAGTTTGATGCTAGGTACTTGAACATTTATTATTCTCTTCTACTTTGGGGCATTTTTGGAAATTTCAATAATACAAAGCTTAAAAAAAGTCATTACATATATCAAGAGTACAATTCATAAACCTCTCTCTTTTAGGACTACTTATCCATAATAATGATGAAAACTATTATTGGTAGAGCCATATCAGGCATTGTGCTAGAGATGCACTTTATACAAGGTGTCACATTTAATCTATAGAACAATTCTCAAAGGTAAACAGTATCATCCCCATTTTACGCTTGAAAACTGAGGTTCAGAGAGGCCATCACCTTACTCGCTTCTGAACTGTTTGTAGTGCCAGGGATGTGAATTTAAGGTGATTTGTGTTCTAGTGCTTTCTCTGCTATTAGAGCCAAGGAGAAAACATTTCTTCACATTCTCATGTCTGAGAAAGGTATACACATAATTCTCTGTTCTTAAAGTCACCTGTGATTCATAATATTCACCTGTCACAGTCATTACTTCCAGAATATCTTTCTTCTGTTCAGGCAGCAATTCTGCATTTCTTCGAGTGGTAAGATGTCGATCCTTAGCAGAAGAATATGGTTTGGATACGATTAACAAGGATGAAATTAGTAAGTATAATAGCCTTCTGATTCTAGGTTAATTTTAATTAAACGATATAAATATTTTGCGTAAAATAGTGTTGAGTATATGGTGATGATATAAAAGAGAATGTAAATATTCATATTCTAATTTTATTCTAAGCTTATCTAAGTAATTATAATTTATGTATATATTATATGAAACTTAATGTATGTATAAAGTCATATTTAGGTCACAGAGTCCATTGTATGATATGTATGAGTTAAAGTCAGTATGTTACTACTTTAGTAGAGATTGTGTGACTCCAACTAATAGTCCTGAAACTCAAGTATATAGTAAATTCAGCCCTTTATTATTTATTATATTGCAAATTAATCAAATTAAACTGAATTTTTTTTCCTTTCAGTTTCTAGCATGGACAATCCAGATAATGAAATAGTGTTGTACTTAATGTTACGGGCTGTTGATAGATTTCATAAACAACATGGTAGATATCCAGGTAAGAATAGCAATTGAATTACCAGATATAATAAATCTTCAATAAAACATTTAAAATGAAAGTGTTCTCAGGGTATTTATAATAGTGTTGCTTGAATTTCACATTGTAAACAGATTACACCCTAAACGTTCCCCAGTGAGGAAATACCTTTTTTTTTTTTTTTTTTGAGACGGAGTCTCGCTCTGTCACCCAGGCTGGAGTGCAGTGGCCGGATCTCAGCTCACTGCAAGCTCTGCCTCCCGGGTTCACGCCATTCTCCTGCCTCAGCCTCCCGAGTAGCTGGGACTATAGGCGCCCGCCACCTCGCCCGGCTAGTTTTTTGTATTTTTTAGTAGAGACAGGGTTTCACCGTGTTAGCCAGGATGGTCTTGATCTCCTGACCTCGTGATCCGCCCGTCTTGGCCTCCCAAAGTGCTGGGATTACAGGCGTGAGCCACCGCGCCCGGCCACCTTTTGTTTTTTAAGTTTATTTGCAAAATAGTGTTCGATTCTAAACTATTATAGGGGGATGTTGGTTGAATATATATATAGAAGAAAACTTTTTTCTGTCATTCTCCATAGTTTGCTACTAAGACTCGCACTGAGTTTAATTTAGTGGAATAGGAAAGCCATGAGAAATATGCTGGCCAGGCATAGTATGGTGGCTTACACCTGTAATGCCAGCACTTTGGGAGACTGATCTCAGGCGGATTGCTTGAGCCCAGGAGTTGGAGACCAGCATGGGCAACATGGTGGAACCCCATCTCTACTGAAGATACAAAAAATTAGCCAGACATGGTGGTGTGCACTTGTAGACTCAGCTACTCGGGAGGGTGAGGTGGGAGGATCACCTGAGCCTGGGAAGTTGGGGCTACAGTGAGTTGTGATTGTGCCACTGCACTCCAGCCTGGGTGACCGTGGTGAGACTAGTATGCTAGTAATTTCTGAACTCAAGAACTCTGAAGATGTAGGAATTTGTTTGTTTAGTATCTACTTTTTCTCTTCAGTGAATGTAGTCACTGGAGAATTGGCATAATCTCAAAGATCTGAGGTTGCTCAGAATATTTCTCTTCGGATGATAATTTTAATTGTGCAGGATTATTGCATAGCAACACATTCTAGGAGTATCATAAAACCTGCTGCTCCATCTGATGCAGTGTGTCTCCAGAGTTTATAGTCTTTTTTTTTTTTTTTTTTTTTCCCTGAGATGGAGTCTCTCTCTGTTGCCCAGGCTGGAGTGCAGTGATGGGATCTCAGCTCACTGCAGCCTCCGCCTCCTGGGTTTAAACAATTTTCCTGCCTCAGCCTCCTGAGTGCTGGGATTATAGGCGCCCACCACCTCGCCTGGCTAATTTTTGTATTTTTAGTAGAGACAGGGTTTCACATGTTAGCCAGGCTGGTCTTGAACTCCTGACCTCAAGTGATCCTCCTGCCTTGGCCTCCCAAAGTGCAGGGATTACAGGCATGAGCCACTGTGCCTGGCCCAGAGTTTATAGCCCTCATGAGCAAGGTAACTAGAAGAAACAAAAAAGAATAAACACCAAATATGTATTGCTTTATTTGTATTATTTGATTAGAATTTATTTCAGTTATCTATTGCATAACAAACCACTTCAAAACTTAGTGGTTTAAAACAATAAATAGTGTTGATTTTGTGGATTGCCTGGTTTCAGGCAGTTCTCCTTGAGGAGGCATGCAGTTGCTTGATGCCTGGGGGTGGAGTCATTCTGAAGCCTTAACTGACTGAGTTAGACATGCAAGAAGACATTTTTACTCATGTAACTAGCCCCTTAGTCAGAACAGTGGGAATAGCTGGGGGCTGGTCAGGTATCTCTCTTCAGGTGGCTAGCTTGGACTTCCTTTTAGCATGTCAGTTGGCTTCTGCAGTTACCATTTGAAAAAACCCAAGTGGAAGTTACAGGGCTTTTTATGACCTAGGTTGGAAGTCATACAGCATCACTTATGCGCTAAGTAACTTAATCTTTCTGTGCCTTAGTTTTCTCTTCTATGAATGGAGATAACGATATCTACTTCATAGGACTGTTTTGAGCATTCAATTAATATATATATATATAAGGTCCTTCGAACAGTGTCCAGCATCTGTTAATGCTCAATAAATGTGACCTATTATTGGCGAGGCATGGTGGCTCATGCCTGTAATCCCAGCACTTTGGGAGGCCAAGGTGGGTGGATCACTTGAGGCCAGGAGTTCGAGACCAGTGTAGCAAACACTGAAACTAAAAATAGAAAAAATTAGCTGTGTGGTGGCGCACTCCTGTAGTCCCAGCTTCTTGGGAGGCTGAGGCATGAGAATCATTTGAACCCGGGAGGCAGAGGTTGCGGTGAGCCGAGACTGCACCACTGCACTTTAGCCTAGGTGACAGCAAGACTCTCTCTCAAAAGAAAAAAAAAAAGTTACCTATTATTAATAGCTTTATGTCCTCAGTGTCATTTATCATTTAGTCTTTTAGAATTGGAGAATAACTTTTATAAAGCGTATAAGTAGGACATTACTTTCTCATTCATTAAGTTCTTCTATCAAATAATTATTAAGCACTGTGTGCCAGATGCTCTTCTAGACAGTGAGTATGATGCAATTAACAAAGATTTAATTAAATTCAAATTTTTACTAGGTTTTAGTTGGTCTCTGATTATAGGTTTGTGATATTTGCAAATATTGGTCTCATACTTTGTTATTTTTGTTCTTCAGTTTCATACATATTTTGACTAGAATATCTGAAACTAGATTAAATAAAGGAGTTGGCCATTAATTTTTGATCACATTTATTTTAATGAAAACTAACTTTTATTTTTAGGGGTATCTAACTATCAAGTTGAAGAAGATATAGGAAAGTTGAAGTCTTGTCTCACTGGCTTCCTTCAGGAATATGGTTTATCTGTAATGGTGAAAGATGATTATGTCCATGAATTGTGAGTATTTTTTAGGGTATCTAGGAGATGATTCCACACCTGTCGTAAGGCTAATCAAAATTCATGTCTCTGTGATCTCCTCTAGTTGCCGATATGGAGCCGCTGAGCCACATACCATTGCTGCGTTCTTGGGGGGTGAGTTCCATATATGAGAAGACTCACCTGTTGTTACGTAGTACAGTTACTATTTTAATACGAAGTTGTGTCGTCTAGCTATTTCAATTAGGGAGGTCAGTGAAGCAGGATGTTATATTTCTTTTTTTTTTTTTTTTTTTTTGAGACACAGTCTCACTCTTTTGCCCAGGTTGGAGTGTATTGATGCCATCATAGCTCGCTGCAACCTCAACTCCTGGGCTCAAGTGATCTCTCGCCTCTGCCTCCTGAATAGCTGGGACTACAGGCATGTGCCAGCGAGCCTGACTAATTTTTCAATTTTTTGTAGAGACAGGGCTCCACTATGTTGCCCAGGTTAGGATACTTATTCAGTTGCCTCTATACTGGTCTCCCTGCCTTCCATCTCTCCCACTGCCATCCAACTTAAACTCCTTAAGAGTCATTAATCCCTCTAAAGCATAGCTCTGATTGTGTCCTTTTACTAACCGCCTGCCCCACCAATACACATACACTCTACGACAGTCCTTCAAGCAAGTCCAGGGACCTTGGCTTGATGTTAAAAATCCCTGTGTTTTAGTTCCACTCAGCCTTTCTAGCCTTGATTTTATCATATTACTTGCTTTCCCCCCAGGCATGCCCTTTGATTTCCTGCTCCTAGATCTTTGCTCCTCTGGACCTATTTGCCTTAAAAATATGTTTTTCTGCATGTCCAAAACCTACATGTTCCACAAGACCCAACTCAAAAATGACATGTCTTTCATAGAAGCTCCCTTACTTCCCTCCCTCACTCTACTTCCCCCTTGTCTTAGTCACTTTGGGCTGCTGTAACAGAATATCATAGACTTATAAACAACAAAAATGTGTCACAGAGTTCTGGAGCCTAGAAGTCTGGGATCAGGGTGCCAGCATGGTCAGGTCTGGTGAGCACCCATTTCCTGGTTCATAGACAGCTCTCTCTTCTGTGTTCTCACATGGTGAAAAAAAAATGGCAAGAGAAGTCTCTGGGGTCTCTTATTAGGTCACTAATCCTATTCATGAAGGTTTACGCTCTTGACCTAATCACCTACCAAAAGCCCTATCCTCATACAATTACACTGGGGGTTAGGATTTCAACATGAATTTGAGGGGGAAACGAACCATTCAGTCTGTAACACCCCTCAAAAAAATATGAGCTATTTGCTTGTGGCATTTTCCTTCTAGATGTTGAATGTTTTAAAGGCAGATTTAGGTTTGATTAATATTTGAAGTGTTCAAAATGTGAATGAATCATATAGACCTAAGAAAACGATTTTCTAAGCAAATCCAAAATAAAGCTTGATTCGGAATAATTTATTTTAAACTAAAACCAAGTAGTCTCTTGTGCCAAAATAGCAAAGTTAACTGCCAATTCACAGAAAAGGGCAAATTATTATTTATTCAGATTCAGTCCAGAATCTAAGAAGAGGTATAGCCGGATAGATGGACTGGATGACTTGCCAATAGCAGAAAAAAGTATAAATTGAAGGTTTTTTGTGTTTGTGTTTTTGTTTTTTACTTCTATGCATTCTGTAATCATTTTGCACAGTGCCATTATATCCCTTCACTTCCTTCAGGTTTTATTCAAATGCTGTCTTCTCTGTGATGCCATCACTCACTCCCCTATTTAAAAGACGAACCCCTCCTCTTGTATTTATATCCCCCTTATTTGCTTTTTCTCCTTAGCACCTATGGTCAGTTGACATACTACACATTCTATTTATTTGTAAATTATCTCTCTCTTTCTGTCTTTTTTCCTTACTGTAACCCTACTGCCTAGAACAGTATTTGGTGCACAGTAGTCTCAAATTCTATGCAGTTGGCCGAGTGCAGTGGCTAATGCCTGTAAGGCCTCCGCTTTGGGAGGCTGAAGTGGGCGCATCACTTGAGGTCAGGAGTTTGAAACCACCCTGGCCAACATGGTGAAACCCCATCTCTACTAAAAATGCAAAAATAATTAGCCAGGTGTGGTGGCAGGTGCCTGTAATCCCAGCTACTCAGGAGGCTGAGGCAAGAGAATCATTTGAACCTGGGAGGAGGTTGCAGTGAGCCAAGATCATGCCACTGCACTCCAGCCTGGGCGACAGAGTGAGACTCGTCTAAAAAAAAAAAAGGAAAAATTCTATCCAGTCCATGAATATTTGGGAGAGAGGAATCTTCAGGTTATAGAAGATGCACAACTTTTTTCTTAGTAGTTTTTTTGTTTTGAGTAAATATAGCAGTCTGGCGATATTTAATATAGATCCTTCCTAAATTACAAATGCATTCAGAACAAATACACCTTTCTCCTTTTTTATTATAAAACAGATACAAGGTAAAATTCAAATGCAGCAGTAGGATGTCCTTTGAGAATCTTTTATGCCTGTGTGTAGTCTTTAAAGTTTGGTCAACCACACTACTGCTTAGATTTCCTTTAATAACAAAAAGAATTACAGGCTTTTATGTTGATATGACTCAGTAAGCTAACTGCATCTGTTTTGGATCACTTTCAAACGAACCTTTGCTTTTGAAAAGGGAAGATTTCTTTACAGAATTGAGTATTTTTATATAACTCCTGAAGTTTACTCTTTTCAGAGATTTGCTTTTCTCCTTTTTCCTTTCAGGAGCTGCTGCTCAAGAGGTCATCAAAATAATCACCAAACAATTTGTAATTTTTAATAATACTTACATTTACAGTGGCATGTCACAAACTTCAGCAACTTTCCAGTTGTAGAGTAAGCACCTTAGGTGGTGTGTTAATGATTGAAACTGTAATTGCCTTCGGGTTGTGCTTTAGTCTGTAAAATTCTAAAGGAGAGCTGCTAAATTGTTTTCTTAATAAACATTTTTCTCATTTGTAATAATGTAGTCTTGTTCTTTGTGGGGAGGGGAAAGGAGACAGTCATTTTCCTAGAAAATGAATCCTATCCATTTCTCATTGAGCATCAATATTGGCTTGCTATTTCAAAGTTACTTGTCATAGATTATCCTTGTGCTTTATTCGAGATAGTTAAAAAATTTTTTTTTCTTACCATCTTCAATAATTAATTTAAGCCATGTGCAGATGTTAGCTATGGACATTTTAGGACCATCATCATTTGTTAAAACGAATAGAATTTAAAAAGAAATTATTTCTGGATATGTAGTTTTCCCAGAAAACAAGACCATCCCCTTGTATGTAGTGTTATCTTAACTAAAGTTTTGGCTGCCTAACCTACTTCTTGAAATTTTATGGGGTCATTCCACTCATATATACTCTTAAATTTAGTCACATGGGATTAATAGCATTCACCAGCATTTTAGAGGGCAAAAAAAGGAAGTAGTAGATGCAAACGGAGTGGAAATCCAGAATCCAGAAGTAGGGGCAGTGCCCGGTTTTTGACTTGATGTATTAATACTTAGGGCTGAGGAACGTGGTCCGTGGTTCATGACTCTTAATATCTAAGGCCACTAACCTGCTGCAGCTGTCTCTGAGGCCAGCGTCTCCTGAGAACTTGTTAGATATGCTAGGGTACCTTACAGGGACTTGGTTTTCCACACCCTAATGTGTCAGCCATTCTTTGGCTGTTCTTCACTGTATCGGGGACCTTCCCCTCGCCTTCATCGCCTGGCAGTCCCATGGGCTGCATTTTACGGCGGAAGAGGCAAGGGACAGGCCTAGGCCTCGGCCCCACTCTGATCCTTTGGTCCAGGTGCAGATAAGTCCGCCTGGACCGAACTCCGGAAGTCCCCCGGTGAGGTGGTGGCCTGGCTGCCTCTGTGGGCTGCAGTGACCATTAGCGAGGTGCCCAACAAAAGGGAGAACGCACAGTGCACAGCACAGATGCCAGGTGGAAGGGAGGTGGGGCTTCGCCGCCCCGTGCCTCGCGTTTACTGTCCCATAGCCAGGCCTCGTCAACCACGTGCACAGTCCCCTAATTTTGGGGCTAATGCTCCTCTGAGGTAAAAACCCTAAAAACCGGGGGCGGTAAGCTTAGATTTCTCTTTCAAATTGTAGCTTTCTTAAAAATCTTGCATCCAGGACACCGGCCACCCTATTCCCCTTGGCAATCTGGGGCACCCGCGGAAGCGTTAAGGCTCCGTGCAGGGGCAGTGGGCGTGCCGGCCGGAAGTCCCTCCCACGGACGTGGGCCTGGACTGCTGGGCGGGAAACCCTAGCGAGCGTCGTGGCAGGTGGGCGGTGATGAAGAAAGGGAGGAAGCCCCCGCTTGAGGGTAGACGCCACGGCCTTCGCTCCCGCGTGTTGGGGCCCTGCCTTACTGCGCTTGGAAACTCCGTATGTTGGCGCCTGTGGAAGGCGGGTTGGGCCGGCCAGGATGTCTTACCGTCCCGTCAGGCCCTTCTTAGCTCACGTGAGAAGAGTCGAGTTGGGGGAACGGGGCCTTTATGAGTAGGTGCCAGGCCCCAGCTGTAGTCCCCACAGCCTTTGGCGGGAAGAGACAGTTATCACGAACCATTTAGAGGCGTGTAGAGCCTGGCAGTATTCGCCCCTATTTCACTTCTGACTCCCCAGGCGCCTCCCCTGGTGACTTTGATGTGTGGAGAGGGTGGGACCCACCGTTGAGGTCTTTTCTCAGAGCCAGGGCCAGGCGGCATGTCCCACAGCACCTGAACGGGGAGGGCCTGCTGAGGGGGCTGATGGCTCTCGAGCGGCCCGCGCCGCTCACCAGTGCCCTGCTCCCGCGCAGGACTTGCGAGCCGCGGTCAGAGAGGAGCCTGGAGGGGCCACCTAACCTCTGCACAAGGAATTCCTCCAACTCTGTAGGTGAGCCGGCCGCGGGCTGAAGGGGCAGGAAGCCGGGCGGGGTGAGCGCCACCGCCTTAGAAAGGTTACGTGTCTGTTACCTGTGGAACCCGGGAGGAGGCCTTGAGGATTTATGCTCTGGGCTCGGGGGTATCATATTGCAGAGCCAGCTGACTCCGGGTACCCACAGTACGTTTTCTGGGACCTGAATGACTGTTCTCTTGACCCGTTTAAACGATCGAAAACAAATTTGCCGTTTCTCTCTTGCGTCTTCTTTAGAGGGTATTTTCGCTGTATATAAGTGCAAGCTGGGTATCAGCTGACAACAATTTAGTGGTGGGATTATCAGCTTTGCCAGCCTTACACAAAAAGATGCCATTTATCTTTCTGATATATTGGGATAATATTTCGATTTCAAAAAGCTTTCTTGGCCTGGCGTGGTGGCAGTCGCCTGTAATCCCAGCTACTCGGGAGGCTGAGGCAGGAGAGTCGCTTGAACCCGGGAGGCGGAGGTTGCAGTGAGCCGAGATGGCGCCATTGCACTCCAGCCTGGGCGACAGAGCCAGACTCTGTCTCAAAAAAAAAAAAAATTCTTTCTCTTTATTTATTTATTTTGAGACAGGGTCTCCCTCCATCATCCAGGTTGGAGTGCAGTGGCATGATGTCGGCTCACTGTAACCTTCATCTCCTGGGCTCAAGGGATCTTCCCACTTCAGCCTCCTAAATAGCTGGGATTACAGGTGCGTGACCACGCCCAGCTACTTTTCGTACTTTTCCTTGGTAGAGATGGGGTTTCACAGTGTTGGCCAGACTGGTCTCCAACTCCTGGCCTGAAGTCTTCCGCCCACCTCGGCCTCCCAAAGTGCTGGGATTACAGGCGCGAGCCACCACGCCCGGCCCCTCAAAAGCTTTTGGTATACATTTTGTAAATCAAGTAAACGAGTAATATTCAGCTACTTTTCTTACTGCAATTTGAATTTGAGTTTACTGTTTTGGGGAGTGGGCTGAGTGAAACGTGTAAGTGGGAGAGGTTCTGTCATCCAGAAAAAAATCCTTTTTTTCCTGTGAGAATACAGTAAAGAATTTTGAAATCTTGTTTGTGACAGTACATATATTCACTAAATTACTAAAAGCACTTCATAATCTGCTTTATATGGCAGATGCTTTTGTTCTTGAGAATATACTTGTTTATAATTTTAAATATAATTTTGTGATTATCAATCCCTTGAAAGTTATAACTTTTCCTTTGCTATGGGTGTTTGTAAGCACTTCTCAAGTAAATAGATGACTTGTGTTAATGCTACCAAGTACTTGGCAAACTCTTTTTGTGCAAAGTAACCATTTATAAGAAGAAAGTATAAAAACAAAGGGAGAAAAGAGTGTGAGTGGTCAGTTTTAATTTCAAAGCATTTAGGTTTAAAAGTTATACATTACCCCTCATAGGCCGGGCACGATGGCTCAGCCTGTAACCCCAGCACTTTCGGAGGCCGAGGCGGGTGGAACACCTGAGGTCAGGAGTTCGAGACCAGCCTGGCCAACATCGGGAAACCCTGTCTCTACTAAAATTACAAAAATTAGCCGGGCATGGTGGTGCGTGCCTGTAATTCCAGCAATTCCAGCCACTCGGGAGGCGGAGACAGGAGAATTGCTTGAACCTGGGAGGTGGAGGTTGCAGTGAGCTGAGATCACACCACTGCACTCCAGCCTGGGCAACAGAGTGAGACTGTCTGGAAAAAAAAAAAAATTATACATACCCCTCTTAAAAATTATATTAAAAGCAGAATAGATTGGATAATTAAAATTAAGGATATAGTCCTTAAAGTTGTCCATGAAACAAAAACATCCATATATGATAACAGTTTTCCATTTTCTAAAGAGTTTGTTTTTTTAAATCTAGTAATCTTTTCCAAATCTTAACCCATTTGTTGAAAAGCAATATGTATTTATGTACAGGAGACAGTATAAGAGTGGTTAAGAGTGTAGGCCCTGGCCTAATTTTCTTGGTTCCCATTTTAACTCTGGCACTTACTAGCAATTTGAAGTTAGTCAAATTATTTGCCCTCTCCTCATGTATCTTCATCCTTATAATTCCCTCATAAGGTTATTGTGGAGACGAAAAAGAATATTCATAAGGTGTAAAGAACAGAGCCTACCTTCAATAGGCATTTACTGAATTTTAAAAGCTGTTATTATTATAAAAATTGTGAAAAATAGAAAATGGTGGGATAAAACCCATAGAACCACCAGCTAAAGACAAGTGTTAATATGTCATCTTTCTAGCCAGTCTTATTTTATGTTTACCTCTATTTTGGATCATACTGTAGATTAAATTGAGTCTTGCTATTTTTGGTTAACTTTGTAACATAAGCATTTTTCTTTGCTATTGAACATTTCTAGTAAATGTGAATATTCTTGTAATAATATCCTATCTTGTGGACTTATAACATACCTACTTCTATTTTAATGTAATATTTAGGTTAAAAAATGGGCCAGGCATGGTGACTCATGCCTCTAATCTCAGCACTTTGGGAGGCCAAGACGGGAGGATCTCTTGAAGCCAGGAATTCAAGACGAGACTGGGCAACACAGCAAAACCCCTGTCTCTACAAAAATATTTAAAAATTAGCTGGGTGTGGTGGTGTGTGCCTGTAGACTCACCTACTCGGAATGCTGAGGCAGGAGGATCACTTGAGCCTAGGAGTTTGAAGCTGCAGTGAGCCAAGATCATGCCACTGCACTACAGCCTGGGTGACAGATTGAGACCCTGTCTCTTAAAAAAAAAAAAAAAAAAGGCAAAAATAATATACCTGTACATTTGTATAGTACTTTATAAAAGATTTTTACATTTGTTATTTCTTTAAACATTTCTTTGTGCTTAAGAATTTTCTTTTTTTTTTTTCTTTTTGAGACAAGGCCTTGTTCTATAAATGGATAATTGGATATCTCTCTTTAACAACATAGTGTTGGAATAAATAAGAATTTTAGAGTTCTATGAATCCTGATTTGTTGCTCTAAGAAGTTAACTGGACTCTGAGGCATTTTTTCTAACTAATCAGTTTAGCATTTTAAAGTAGGGTATGTGAGAGGTCATATCAGAGTTGCTGGTTATTTTAAAAATGGTTCTAGGCTGGGCATGGTGGCTCAAGTGTGTAATCCTAGCACTTTGAGAGACTGAGGTGGGTGGATTGCTTGAGTTCAGGAGACCAGCCTGGGCAGCATAGTGAGATCCCATCTCACCATACCATGTCAAAAATAAACATGGGTTGTTAATTTAGTATTTAGCATGTGAAGAGAAAGGCCAGTCTAAAGTGTATGTGTGTGTGTTTTGTAAACCTCTCATAGGTAAGAGGGGTCCCTAATCTGAAACTATGAGATGAAGATTTCCATGAAGAAAATAAGAAAGTGGGGGCTGGGTGTGGGAGCTCACACCTGTAAACTTAGCACTTTGGGAGGCTGAGGTGTGTGGATTGCTTGAGACCAGGGGTTTGTGACTAGCCTGGGCAACATGGCGAAACCCCATCTCTACAAAATTAGCCAAGTGTGGTGGTATGTGCCTGTAGTTTCAGCTACTCTGGAAGCTGACGTGGGAGGATCACCTGAGCCTGGGAGGTCAAGGCTGCAGTAAGTCGTTATCAAGCCACTGCACTCCAGCCTGGGCGTCAGAGTGAGACCCTGCTGTCTCAAAAAAAAAAAAAAAAAAAAAAAAGGAAGGGAATGGGACCAGTTAAGAGGTCCAGTTAGATCCAGTCACCCATTCATTTGCTTAATAAAATTTCTTGAATGCATATAGTGCTTAAAAATGCCAGATATGTTTATGTTTTTAAATGTAATTATTGTAACAACTCTGTGAAATAGGAATATCATTTCTATTTTACAGCTGAGGATACAAAGCCTCAAAGAATTTAATCAACCTGCTTGATAGCACACATCTAATAAGTTGCAGATTCAACTTATTAACTAAGTTAATTAAATTTAATTATTATTTTAAAAGTTGTAATTCCCTGGTCTTTTGGCTTCAGGAAAACAATTTTTCCCACCCATTTGTACTTATATCTTTGCTATTCTCAAACATTGATTTAAATTGAGAAAATACCTTTATCTTATAGACGAAATATAAGGAAAAAGAATATAGACAAGCATGGAAAGTGAAGACACAAAGAAAACACAAGGTGAGAAATTGAATCATATATCTGCAATGAGTTTTGTATTGGTAGGATATACTGTAGATTATTTGACAGGATTCAGGAAATGAAAGAATCATTCAGCCATTTACATAAATATTGAGCACTACTCTGTGCCTGTCACATAATTTCTGGCTTCAGGAAACTGACATTCTAATGGGAAAAGACATATTGACAATTAGAATTTCACGTGATAGTTGATTTAATGTCAGTGTATACAAGAATAATGGGAACCTGAGAAGACCACCATCAAAGGATGCCTGAAGGTACGGATTTCAGAATTGTTCCCAGAAAGATGGAAACTGAATCCATGGGCCTGGAGGAGGTTAACCAGAGAGAAAAGGATGGAGAATAGTGTTCATTAATACACACTGTCATATAAGGTTTTAGCTGAGGAAGAGAGCCCCTAAAAAAAGTCTGAGAAAAACATTTCAAAAAGGTGAAAAGAGGCCGGGCGCGGTGGCTCAAGCCTGTAATCCCAGCACTTTGGGAGGCCGAGACGGGCGGATCACGAGGTCAGGAGATCGAGACCATCCTGGCTGACACGGTGAAACCCCGTCTCTACTGAAAAATACAAAAAACTAGCCGGGCGAGGTGGCGGGCGCCTGTAGTCCCAGCTACTTGGGAGGCTGAGGCAGGAGAATGGCGTGAACCCGGGAGGCGGAGCTTGCAGTGAGCTGAGATCCGGCCACTGCACTCCAGCCTGGGTGGCAGAGCGAGACTCCGTCTAAAAAAAAAAAAAAAAAAAAAAAAAAAGGTGAAAAGAGAGTCAGGAATGTGGTATCTTTGAAATCAGAACCTTAAGAGAATGCTTCATGAGAAAGAGGTTGCTTAAGAGCC